AAAAAATAAAAAATAAATAAAAATAAATAAATAAATAAATAAATAAAAATTTCCCCGGTGGTTCTGTTGGGAACACCAGGAAAAGATTAAATGCTAAGTCAATGTGGAACCAAATGGAAAACAGAGTCCAATAATGACTCAGCTCAATTCCTCTTCTTCCATGAAATCTTTCTAACTCCACTAGCATCTTCTCTGAACTCAGAGACCACTGCAAGCCTGCCTCATATGCTCATAGCTTATCTTAGATTGCCCTTGAAGTCTTTTTTCAGAGTTTGTTTTGAAAATAAAACAATAGAGCCCAAAGCTCACTGAGCTCAAAAATCCTAAGTATTTAGTCCTGTGCTCAGCAAAATGGTGAGGTCCTAGAGTTTATATTAAGAAGTCCTCATAAAGGAAATGGTGCAAACATACCATCGCTGAGACAGGTGATCATTGAGACAGCCGGTGTAATAGACTGCCGGTGTCACATTCATCACTGGTAAACACAGAGTCTTTTGGAGAATCCACAGGCACCTAAACCTTCCCTTTTTGATGAGGACAAGTTGCCCAAGGGCAGAACATCTTACCTTGTCCTCTCGTTAGCTGCCTGCTAAGAGCAACTTACCCAAAGAAGAAAAAACCAAGTTCGCTATCCCCCATATGACTGTGGACTTTCCTTCTCCCCTCCCATTTTCCTCTTACAGATATTATATTTGTTTCCTCTGATAGAATGAATCAATCTATTCTCCGTTTCTCTTGCGCAAAAGTAAACAGACCTTAATAATAAACTCTGTGTCTTTAAATTATTCTTTGAAAATATTCATCATCCTTCTACTTTCCCATCACAGCCTTTCACACCTTTCCTGACATCTTCCCAGGTTCCTTCTCTAAACTCCTAACCACTGTCCAAAATCATGGATGGTTTGGGTGGCCAATTATCCATTTGCCTGGGACTGGTGGGGGATAGGGGTGCCCCTGGGACACAGGAGTCTCCGTTTTACAAGTAGAACAATCCCAGGCAAGCCAAGATGAGTTGGCCATTCCAGCTTCATTCCATTCAGGAAAGATTTGCATTTGATCCTTAAAGATAGGAAATACTTTCAAACCACAGCTGGAAAATGGCATATGATGACATGGCAGGAATAGTGTTGATATTTGGCATAAGGAGACTAATGCCTTCATTATCTCATGCCTACTGCCTACTGGTCTCACTGGGAAGGCTAGGGTTGGGCACTAGTCATAGCATCATCTGAATATTAGACTCGGATGGAGAGATTTTTCTTTAAATGGCTAATGCCAGCACAATTTATTTTAATTCAAAAGGTGGGTTAAGGAGACTTACTGTGTCCAAAAGAAGTTTTTCAGCTTTGTCTCGGCTGATACTCTTATTGTACCACCTGAAAGCAGGAAAAGGCCATATATCAATGACATTTAAAATTTTTGATGATTTACTTGTGAAAGATAATTAATGCCAAAAATACCTCCAGGAGGGGGAATATACATTTTTATTTGACCCAGGCTTCACCATTCTATATTGCTGTATAGTCGGTTGGAATTTTGGGTTTGTCTCCTCCATCATAAATTAGGAGATTCGAATTAAAAGCAAAAACAAAACTTCCAAGCCTGGTGAACATTTGGAATAAACACATATTTCTTTCTACAGGCATTGATTATTTAAAAAAAGAATTCTATTTAAGCATGTTTTATGTGTTTTATTGTAGCTCAAGGATTCTTGGAACTGATGGCTCTTTTATCTGAGGGGTGAGGTTATTTGTGTACTTCATCAAAATGAATTTCATATTGAGAGACTCTTCAGAAAATAAATGACAGCTCTTCCCTATAGAATTTATTCAAATTTCAGCAACAAATAACTTGACCGCATTTGAACTACTAAGAACCCACAGAAGTTAATAGAAGTCTTCACAGCTAGCATTCTTCAACCTTGGTATTGCATATTTGGTGAGGACTTAAAAATTTTTTTTTTAAATAATTTCAAGGGTATAGAAAAGTTGTAAGACACTATAAAAGAACTCCCATATACACTTCCCCCAGAGGAACCAATTGTTTACATTTGCTTTACCAGTATCTCTGGATAGATAAATATATATTTTTCTGAACCATTTGAAAATAGACTTTTATTCCTAATGACTTCAGTATGTATTTCGAAGAAATAGAGTATACATTTATATAACCATAATACAATTATCCAAATCAGGAAATGTAACAGTGATACGATACTATTATTTAATATCAGACTTTATTCAACGTTCATCAGTTGTCCCAACAATGTGTATTGCAGCTGATTTTTTAATGATTCAAGAGCCAATCCAGGATTACTAGTGCCCCACCTCTGAATCCACAATTCGTTCCTCCAAGAACTCCTGGTCTGTAGAGGGGGAAGTGTGGTTTAGAAACCAAGATCCGGTGTGCACACTTGTACTTTGGTGTTGTTGCTTCTGGGCCTTTCAGCAGCTGAGCCAGGAAATCTATGTACATATGGTGAGTACTCTGGACGCTGCAATTTGATTGTATTAAACTCTAAGTAGTTCCACTAAAATAATACCCATGTGGGCTCTTCTAAATGATAGCTTGGAACAAACAACACAAGCTAAGCAGATATTTAATACCTATTTGTCTGCTATTTTGGTATTGGACGTATTAAACCATGTTTTGAATCAGTTTGTATTTGAACCAGTGTTCGTAGCATTTTTTTCGTTCTCAGTTAAGACCAATATTCCCGGACTCTCAGAACCTTTTCCTTGCCTACAATCTGCATAGGCATCTGAGAAGTATCCTCTTGGTAAAAGGGCAGGTGAGTACACCCCCCTCCCCTTCTCCTGTATAAAGTGTCCTTCTGCTGCTATTTAGGGATCAGAGTATGAGGAGAAGAAAGCAGGTCAAGAAGAGAAAATGCCTGGTGATTTTATCATCAACCAACAATTTGTTTCTAAACTAAGGAGGACTCCTTAGCACCGTGTTTTTGTAAAATAAATAAAATATCTTACTCGTAGGTTTCCAGGTTATTTGCAGATTTTTCCACCAGATAGCTGCTTGGTACGTATCCTTCGTGTCTGTAAAAGGGGAAATCAGTGTTTAGACCAGTGGTTCTCAACCTTCCTAATGCCGCGACCCTTTAATACAGTTCCTCATGTTGTGGTGACCCCCAACCATAAAATTATTTTTGTTGCTACTTCATAATTGTAATTTTGTTACTGTTATGAGTCGTAATGTAAATATCTGATATGCAGGATGTATTTAGGTGACCCCTGTGAAAGGGTCGTTCGACCCCCAAAGGGGTTGCGACCCACAGGTTGAGAACTGCTGGTTTCGACTAATAGAGGACTAATTTTCACATCTCCATTTTATAAGTTTAATTTGCTAAAAGTCCCTTAGAGTTGGGAGAGTCTCACATTATTTGGCATTCCTGACAAGAGATTTTGAAGTTTGAGAATAAAAGCATTGCTAAAAAATAACAACAATCTATCTGTTAAAGGCGATAGATTCACTACTGAAACATGAACCATACCAAATAAAACACCACTATTTTAGTTAAAACGTGCTGCTTGCTGTTCTCTCCTCAGTGTGAAAGTTCCTCTACTGGAAAAAAAAAGGTCAGTGTGTGGTCTCTATTTTCTATAAGGAAACTTTTTCTGCATTTGATAATCAGTATTTTTTCCACTTTAATGCTATTATGCTACAGTCAGGAAACCAAAATAATTAAAATATAAAAAATT